GTGTTCCTGTGCAGGAAGGGGAGTATAGTATCATAGTAGCAGGCCTTGCTTTGTTTGTGTAGTTTATCTTTTTTCCCCAAAATGGTTTTACTCCAGAAATATTTCAAATATTTTGTCCCTGTCCTCAGGGCAGTGGTGGCTTTGTCCAGCTCTCGTTTTGGCAGGACATAAAGAGTGAACTGCACCAACCCAGGTCCCCACAGCTGCAGTGTCTGAGATATTCATCAGGGTGAGTGCCAGAGGTGTGAAGCCAGCACGAGGAGGTCTCAGGCCTCAACAAATTGTCCCCAACAAATTATAATTTAAGTGCCAATCAATGAAGTCTTTACCACTATTAGAAGCATGAGTTTTAAATTATTTTCTACATTTTTTTCTAACAAGTATATGGGAAAGACTTGACTCTACAGTCACTTAAGTTCAAAAGTACTTTTGGAACAGTGAGAGAGTGCTGTTAGTTGTTTCTTAATTTGTGTTCACTTTCATCTATGCACATTTTTAAAGCAAGAAATTAAATACTCCCTAGCACACCTATGGTCACAGTGTGTCTGCATATTGCAACCAAGCATAATTTACAATATTAAATGAAATTTTACATTTAAATATCTGTAGGCAGCTACTCGAGGACAGCAGAGATGATTCCAGCTGAATGTCAACCCTAACAGTCTATTCAGTAGCAATTTTTTCTGGTTGTGTGTGAAGTATCTCATCTACTTCAAAGGTATGAAGAAAAAATGTTTTGTTGATTCTGATGACCAAAAGGAAAGCAGATATTGTGGATTTACTAAAACCATAAGGTGGATTATTTAGTGTCTGGTAGCAAAATCACCCTGGGCTTCTTTTAGATACTGTTTGGGGAAGGAGTTTAAGTGTACAAAATGCACCAAGAAAAGCAGCTATAAAGGCACACTGCATTAAATACCAGGAAGTTCTAAAGCTGAGACATAGGCTGAGGATGAGGGAGAAGCTGGTCATAATTTTTCTGTGACTACTTCTCAGCCAAAAATTTCTTATTTACCACAGTTGGAACATTCTCAGAATACGTGTCTGTTTTACTGCCAGTTTCTTTGGAAAGCATCTTGGCAGCAGGGACAACCAGCTGGCTGTGTGGTACCTGCCAGCTACTCACACAGCTAGACAGGAGCCCCTGGTGGGTGCCATCAGCTTAGCTCAGGGAACCTGCACCTTACAATCCTCTGTTCCCTGGATATATTACCTGAAAGACAAGGCTGAGAAACAGGAAGAAAAAATGGGAGCTTCTTTTCTTCTGTTTAGCTCGTTAATGCCAATTACGTTGTGCTTTTGGGGTTTTTTTTAAAGGTGGAATGGTGATGGAAATACCTTGTGTAAGGTGAAGCACCACTAGTAGAAAATAAACAGTGTTTCCCTGAGAAAATCTGCACCAGAAAAAGCTCATTACATTGTAGATAGAAACCGAGGTTTCTCTGCCAGTTATAGTGAATGTCTCAGTCATAAAGGATAAAAGATAACCCAGATGATTTAAAGAGCCTTATTTTATGTAATTGTGATACAGCATTATGAGACAATAAATGTTATGTTCATTACACATAAATGATTCAATCATGAATTTTTTAATACAATTACTTGAAGGCCGGGCATCTAAAATAGTTTGGAAGTTGAAGTACAGATGATTTTAATAGTGTCATATTAAAACAATTTATCTTAGAATTATTCAAAATTTGAATGAGACAGGAAATCAAATTTCAGAGCTCAAAGACAAAACCCACCAGCTCAGCTGTTGTGTCAGATTGCTGTCAAGCTGTAGCCTGTATCTTTGCATTCCACTAAGAGCAATGGAAACTTACAGGCACAAGCTTCCAAAGCTGGAAATTGCTTATACACCCACAGAGACTAGGGCTAATCAAATGCTATCGTTTGGTCTGACTCTTTATAAAGATATGTAGCTATTTATCCAAGAAATATGCAAGGCTGCTAAAATAATATCAAAGTTTATTACAGGAATTCGAATGTTTTCTTAGCAATCTGCATAAAAGCATCAAAATATTCTGTAATTGATATACCTAAAAGTTCCTAGTGTAATTAAACTGTAGACAAGACAGTCTCTTACTTAGTTGAAGTGTTATAACTTTCTCAATTTGCATAATATCTGGCTTACATAAATTCCTTTGACATTTCAGAAATCTTCCAGAAGTGTACATGATGCTGGAAACTAAACTATATTTCAATACTGAGAAACTGGTTACTGGATACTAAATATGGCCACAACAATCTCTGCTCTCCTGTGCAACAGCAGTTTCTGACAAATAATGTTATTACCAAACCAATTATAATAATTAAATGGGAAAAAACCCCATTAACTAGGGGCATAATTCACTCACTACAGCTGGGCACACAGTTTTTAACAAAGCTCTTCCATGTAAAATAATTATCTATGTACTGTGAACTCAGTCACTTCTCATAGTGCTCCAGCAAATGCTTTTTTCTGGGTCTGGAGTCCTGATTTAAATGCAGTTGTAGATGGATGCTTTTGATTAACTGTTCACATCATCATTTGATGTCTCCATAAAATAATAACTTGCCGAGTCATCAGTATTTGGACCGATTGACTGAAATTCCTTTCAGGAAAGCTGAAGGTAATATCTTTATCCTGACTTCTCAGACAGAATGAGTTCAGCTAAGAATGTTGCTACAAATACAGGGAACTGAAAACAACAATATTTTTGGTAAATATTTGTAATAACTTTTGTCAGTATGTGCATTTCTTGAGAATTTTCTAAGTTTCATAAAGTAAAGACATAAAAGGTTTCAGTAAACATACGGGCTACAGAGAAAAGCTTGAAGCCATGGTAATGGAAGAGGAAAATTAACTATTACCAGCGGTCTTAATTCCATGATGTCTCAGTCTGCCACCTTTAATAGTAAAAGTGATGCTCTCAGGTGCCCAGCTCTTCAAATGAGGAAGTCGTGAAACGCTCGTTGATGTCAGCTATTTTGATTTATTACTGCTTGACAGAAAGATTATGAACATATATTACAAAAAAATCCTATTTAACAACAATGATGAAATTTTTTGTCTCTTCTGTCAGAGAAAGGCAAATTACTGTCTGAAACTCAGTTATCAAGTTTGAGTTGCTAGGGAGCGCTGGAGTCTCTTATCTTGATAAAGAAGATACTTCTTAGAAGTGGAAAAAATTGAATTCTGTTTTGGATTTCATTAATAAGAACTTAGAGTTGATTTGCCGGAAATAATGTGATATGTACAGTTGTGAAATCTCAATCATATTTTAATCATAGTATCAGTATGGTTAGAGGCTATTTTGAGGACTTAGTATTTTTTTACATTGATCATGATTTTCAGAAGTGGCAAGTGATTTTGTTAATTTACTTTAGGACTTTTATAAGGCAGATGCAGAACATTTTCAACAGAAATTTTTAAATTTAGGATCACAGTTCTATTATCAACAGCCCTATACTTCATACTTTCTGTTGCTGGGAAGAGGAATGGGGAGTAGTAAGGGGGAAAAAAAAAAAAACAACGGTGAAAACCGAAAAGGCAGACCTTCATGTCAGCTAAAATTTAGTGTTCACATTTTAATTACAACCACGTGAGCTAGGGCTGAAATTATGTTAAGTCACTGTCTCTCCTGGGCTTCTTCCCACCCCTTAGAAGAGGTAACTCTGAGAAGTTCCCTTCCCCTTCACTCTCCCGGCCTGACCTTCCCTCACTGTCCCTTCTCTGATCCCTAATGCACTGCCCCTGGATGCTGGAAGCACGGGGAAGCACCAGGGCGAGCACAGTGTTGGCAGCTGTGGGCATGGCCTGTGATCTGGTTGTTGTGATATTGGTGGGGGTGACAGAGGAGACACCTCTTGTGCAGGCAGATAGCCAAGGAAAAGGCCCCATCTATTCCCACTCTCTTCAGAGGCTCACCTCAGTATTGCATAGGTGAAAAAGGAAAGGCTGAAGAAATTCATATGGAGAGATAACCCATGCATTTTATGTTTCATAGGGAAAGTTTTCTTATATTGAGACTTAGGTTTTTCCACAAGCAATTATTTTGCTAGTGAAAAATGACAGGATCAGGCAAGTTCTTGTTTTACTGTCAAATCAGTATGGCAGTGATGCTTTGAATGTATCCAGTGCATTCAGCATTTCACCTCTGATGTGGAGAGATTCAAGTATAACAAAGTGGAATTGATCTGTGGTGTTGGCAGGAAGGTGGAGATTAACTTGTGAAAGTTTCCAAAGTGCCACAGTGCGATAGTCTGCCCCATTTTGGAGCAGAGTTTGCTCGCTGCCCTTGGCAGTGCTAAGGTAGTGGGCAAAGGCTTCTGGAGCTCCCTTGCATAGCCAGGAGATCAGCTGTGCCATGGACAGACCCTCTTTACCCAGGCAAAATTTATCAGCTTGCTTTTGAAGTCTCACAAGGGTAAGATGAACACAAATCACCCACGAGAGTGAATGGAAGTTAATGAAAGAAGAGTTAATACAAAAATCTGAGATCTGTATCTCTGTTCTTTCATGTCTTACCATCTTTTATTCACACAGTGTTTTCAGCAGTTCCAAAACTCCTGCACTTCATTCTTCCACTTTGTGTGCTGGTCCAATATTATTCCTTTTCTTATCAGCTAGTGATCATAATTTGTGTATTATTTGTCTTTTTGCTTTTGGGTGTAATACCAAATTTGTTCAGTGAAGGCAGGTAGAAGTGTTTGAGCTGTTACAAATAGAAGCCATTATAAAAACCGTGTAAGAATGATAATGAACTGGAGGAGGTTTGCATTTTCCTTTTTCTTCTAAGTGGCTTTTAGGTGTGTTGAACTTGATAAAGAGGAGATCCTGTTTGGCGGGTACTCTACTGTTGCAATTCCTGCAAACTGTGGGAATGAGGCAGGGCATTGCAATTCTATATATAAAGCATCCAAGCTTGAAGAGGGCAGCCTAGAAAGTGGCAGCACTGGCACTGCCCGCTTGGAGCAGAGGGGAGCACTGAGAACACTGCCCAGGCAGGGCATGCATCATGCTCCCAACCCTGGTACTGCTCATCTTCTGCAGTTTCCTGCACTCTACTGGTAAGTCCAAGTGCCTGGGCTCCTCTTGGTACATGGCTGGAAGGAAAATTGTACTATTGCCTCACATGAGGTTCAGGTTTTGTTCTCCTTTCCCACAGCTTGCAGAATTCAGTTTACACGTTTTCTTTTCTTTTGTTTCATCTTAAAACACATCAGGTTATTTCATAAATACATGACTGAAATAAAATTATTCATTCGTTACTATTTCAGAAAGTTGGCTACCGATTTGTTGGATCCTTCCCTAAAACTCATTCTCTAGATACAGAGAATATTTTTGATGGACTTCTGTTGTGTTTCTGAGTTGCTGAGTGCCTTCATCTTTCAGATGTTCATGATGCAGTGTCCTAGTGATGTCATTGCAGATATATATTGTATATCTTCTGTGTAGAGTGATAATCAAAATCATTTTTCTTTGTTATGTGAACTGCCAAAAGCATTAAGTATGAGCTATTTGATGGCATTTCTTTTTTGAAGAATGATGTGGTAGAAAGAATCCTGTGCTGGAAAACAGGCAAATGGTTCTAGTCTAAAAATTTTACATGACTCTTAATGTATTCCTCCATACATTATTCAGTACAATCCTTCAGTCTTTCTAAGAAGTCTGTCTTACTTTCTTGGTCCAACCCACCTGTATACCAGATGAATGTGTAATTTCTAAAAAAGTATTTGATAGGTACATTCATTGGCTCTGTAGCTACTCAGTCACCTTACTCATTATTCCTCCTGTGCAGTTATCAGTGGATGTTTTTGAGACTAAGCCTTTTTTGCCATGATTTGGCATTGCTTAATGTTAGTTTTTATTAATCTCTTCTGTATATTCTCTTTAATTACCAGTTATTAGTTAGAATTTCAAGAAAAGATTTTATGCTGCTAAAAAGCATACTTCACTTGCTTTAGGCTAAACAAAGTTAAATTTATTTCTTCTGTATTGTGTTTACTATATTTAATGAACCATTTAGTTGAGATTGCATGGGGACATTTATTGCTCTTAAATCACTGACTTAAACTGTAGCATGAAAATAATTAAAATATAAGCAACTCAACCCTTTTGTAGACTCTCAGAGCCAATTTCTAACCTCAGCTGTATTGTTATAAATCAGGTGTAACTCCATTCACTGTATTAGCACCATTGTAACCAATATCAAGTACCTGAACGTGGGTCCTAACCCCAGGTTTTGCTGCCTACAAGAGCAAAATCTTAATCTACATGACTTCCTAGTTTAGGTAATGATGTATTGAAATAAATACTTGAAATAAAATAGAAAAGCTTTATATGTAAACTTGGCAATCACAAATCAGGACTAAGTTGAATTTAAAGATAAAAACCCTAGAAGCGGGATCTAGAAATTTCTTACAGAGCAGTTTTCTCCTTTAGGATGTGTCAATATTTCAAGTCCTTGGAATGCATCACAAGGTTGGAGACTGTGAAAACAAACAGGTTTCATTCTGTCGGGGAAAGATTTGAAATCAGACAGGTTTTGGATGTTGATCTGTACATTCTTAAATTGGACAACATGCAGGGTGGTCATTGTTTTGAAGTCTAGATCCAAGTGTTGTTTCCTCAGAATGAGTCAGATCAAAGCCAGGACTTAATTCTCATCTTCATGAATCTGCACCCAAATTCTGTACCTTGAGTTTGTCTCTAGGTGGAAATGTAAATATTGATTGTAAGGACATATATTTGATTATTTGATGTGAAGTCTGATGGAAAGTGATAACTTAAGAAAATCAGTAAACATGCATTAGCTTGAGTAAAAAAACCAAAACTGTAGAAGCTTGAAACCTGATTAAAACTGTTAGTTCTAGCCTTTACTTAAGAAGATGTGCTGATTCATTGATTAAATTGAGGCTTCACCCCTTGAGCTATTTCAGTAATCAAAACTGCATAGATCCTGAGAGGTTTGTGTACAGTCATACTTTTTCTTATGAAGTATGTAACTAGGAAGCCACCTGGATTTATGCTGTTCACATATCTGTGTTTGCAAGAGACAAAGGGAGTTAATAATTTCATACTGAAGAGAAATCATCATGAACATGTGCAACTGATAACTCATATTACAGCTACAGCTCTACCAGTACCCTCAGTGTTAAATTTCATTTTAGGCTTCTGTCATTTGTTTTAAAGTTCTTGTCCTTTCCAGAACATCTGACATTTCAACATTTCTGTTTGTCTCAAATTAGAAGAGAAAAATGGAGCCCTTTACAAAACAGAGATTTTAAATTATTTCTGCAAATTGGAAGTACAAAGATTTCATTTCGATGTTTTGTTTTCATTTGTTTATCTGATGTGAAATACTTTGATTGAAGACATTACAACATAAAATTGTATTTTCTCATAGGGGTGTTTCATAGCAACCATAGTATAGGAACAAAATTATTTATTTCTTCATAATAAGTCCTGTTCCCTGGCTGGCTTGAACTGCTGCCATGAACCAGGCAGGCTGACCACACAGAAACTGCACTTCAACAGATAAAATTCTCAAGGAGGTTGGCCAGCTGGAGTAGAGTGGGAATTGGAAGTAAAACCTTCCTTCATCCAAGAGAAGTGAAACTCTGGTTGAAGTTCTGCTGAGATAATTCAAAATAAGTATTTCATATCATTTCTCAAAGGAAAACAGAATACTTGCAATAATAGTAAAATGCCAGTAAGGAAGATTTCAGTACTTTAGAAATCTCATTTAACATTAGGACAGCCTTTTAAATTAAAAGTTCTGAAATTATTGCAAAATACAACTTCTGCAGAGCCATAGCTCTTGATATATGTGTACAATCTGCCATTTTGTGTGCTTCTTTAGGTTGATAACCTTGCCAGGAAGATTTCACTATTCTCTTCAGACTTAAGTGTGAGAAATAGAATGTAAATGCTGAGAATAATTACTGTATTGTAATTAGTATAATAGTTTGATCTGACAGGATACAGACTGATTGACAGATAGAAAATGGTTCAGTATTTATTTTATTAGCTATTCTCTGGGCAAAAAGTTAAAGTGGATTTCATATCCCTAGTTATTTTCAATGTAACTCTTGTACTCAGGATGATTATTATGCTCAAATATAATCTAAATACCAAACCTGAAGTATATGTTAAATTTGTTTGCCGTGCTTAGATTTTTGAGTTTGAAAAGTCAAGAAACAAGCTTTGTAAACTGATCTGTCTGTTCTAATCCAAAATATTTGTCCATTAATTATTAAACATTTTGCTTTACATCAAACTCTGTAGATAGATCTGATGTGAAGTAATGTTTTAGGCATATATTCAGTTCCTGCAAATCTAATATCCTTGGAAGGCAGTTGTTGCACACTCCTAAATCCCATTCATGTAGTGTTTGAAATTTATGATTAAACTGTAACGATTGGAAAACTGTAAAACTAGCAATAATAGATTATTGAACAAATGCAGGTATCAAAATCCAGGTGTTCAAAAAAGGCAGCAGCAACTCTAGGCATGAACAGTGTTAACTTGAAAGCCACAAACTGACTGTTCCTTATTGTGGTGTACTTACTGTGATGCAGTTCATTAGGAACTTGGAAGGAGCATGCTGGATTTTGGAAATGCCTGCTGAGTTTCAGGCCAACCGTGGAGGTTTTCTAAAACACTGGCAAAATTCCAAGCAATTATTGGCCAGTGCTGACCAATTCTAGACAGCAAGGCAGCATGAGTAGAGTCTATAATGATTCTGTGATGAGTGTGTCAGACAACTTGGGAGTGGCTGAGATAAATGTCATTTTAAGCTATTAGAACATTTAGGATGGGAGCACTTCTGTCACTGAACTTATATGCTTGATTTATTTCCCTTATTCCTAAACATGCATTGTATACAATTCTACCAGTGTAGTATTTTAGCTCTTAAAAACTTAGGTTAGTTTATCCAGATAACATCTTTTTTCAGCAAGTACTGTTGCACAGAAGAATTGAGGTATAGACTGATGGGAATGTGGGAGATGTCTGGATCTGAGCTCCAAAGCAAAAGGATGTGCTGAAACTCTCAGTTCCAAAATTCCCTCTTGTACTTTAACCTAGCCATACATAAAAAACAGAGCCTCACCTGTTTTCCTGTAGCTCTTGAGGTAGCACATGGCAAATATTACCTTACCTTCAGCAGCACAGCATGGAATTGGCTGAGACTCTGCTACAGCTGGTGAGCTCCCTGGAGGCTTCTATTCACTGCAGTATCCAAGGAAGCAGCAGCACCCTGCAGAGCTGTCGTGTATATATAGATATGGATGTGGATTTGGCCTGGTTTATTTGATGAAAGAAACTTTCTGCCACAACATGTTGCAAAAGATCCTAAACGTAATAGAGAATTACATAGGTTCTCCAAGATGCTTGCTCCTGCTGTCTAAGCCATATATGAGACATGAGAAAATTTAAAAATGAATAGTACATTTCTGAAGCACCTCAGGTCTTTATTCCTGCATCTTGTTTTAGTTTTTTCCACCCAAGTATTGACTCTGAGAGCAAAAATGCTGGGTGAAACAGCCTTTGAGTATGTGGGAGAATGTGGAGTAGTTGTGCTCTTGCAGCACGTCTTTGTTTGACATGGAAAAGGAGCCACACTGCACCCAGCATTTGCTAAACATTCCTGGGCTTCTCCTAACAAAACCAGGCTTTAGGAAGAGGTGGGTGGAAAGGAGCAGGTGACACTTGCATCATTCTGCAATCATTTATTAATGTGATCAGCAAAAGCAACAACTGTACTTGGGGATGTCCTGCTCTTCAGCTCCAGATCCCACAGTTCTTGTGAAGAACACATGGGACAATACTTCCCCCATATTTTCACACTTTTGGCTATTCCCTCCACTACTTCTACCCAGATGGGAAAACAAGAACTCAAAAACATGAGGAAAGATTTATCCCACTTTTTTTTAACAGGAACATAGGATTTTAGTATGAAGTATAGAAGTTTTCATATTGCATAGGATTTCTGGCAAATTTTGATAACATTTGGCTGGTACAGAAGAATTTTCTTAATTATGACCATCAAGGTCATGAACCAAAAGGAATTGTTTGACCTTGATAGTCAAAACCATTAAAGACACTTTTGTCATTCAAAAAAGAAATGTAGGAAAAGAAAATACAAAAAATTCACAGGATCTTATGCAGTTGTCTGCTGATCTTAATTTACTTAATTACGTAATTAGGAATTATGTGATTTTCCATGATAATTTCCATTTGGATTTGTGTGACAGAGCACAATTCATATGTGCTGACCCTGCTTTGACTTGCAGCATGCTTAAAAATAAATAAATAAATAAATAAACAAATATTCACCTTCCTTTTGCTCAGAGGATAACTGTTTTGTTGTCTTTTTCCTTTTCACAGCTTTTGAAGGAAATTATTGGTCCCACATTTTTTACCACAAACAGAAAGAATCTCTGCAAAGAAGTAAGTGTCTGACCTAGTTTTTAATGTTTGCATTCAAGTGTGAGTGATAACTCTATTCAGCATCAAGTCCATATTGCAGAAGGCACTGTACAAACCACATAATAAAAATAAGTCTTTGCCTCAAGGAGCATATGTTTTGAAGCATTAAATTTTAGAAAAGCCAAATGAAGACTTAGCATGTAAAACGATTGTAAAACACGTTGTCTCACTGTGGTAAGTTTTAAACTAAATTGGAAGTGCTTTAGTGTGCCATACTGAGGTTTTGATGCCTAAAGATAGAAACTGTGAGCTGTTTAGTAGCCTTCCACATTTAGGAATATGCTATTGGGGTAATTTGTGTGGTATGTTTGATTTTCATTCCTACATACTACTGCCTAATACTATCTAAAAATATAGGATATAGATTCTTTTGATACTGCAAAATCCAGGAAACGAAATAAAGCTCATTCTCCATATAGATCAGGTCTTTGAAAATGATTTTAAAAATTTCAGGTTAAAACAAACTTATATGCAAATGGACAATCAGAGTGTGGAATACTTCTTCCTTACCTTTGTAGCCAGCAGCCAGAGGGGGGTCAGAGTAGGACAGAGCTCTGCTTCAGTGTTCAGCTGTGCCAGCTGCTGCCACACTTCTGGTAGTTCACCAGCAGTTTTCCCTTAACTCCAAAGAATGGCTTGTGTGCATCCCTCCAGATCTGCATGCTAAATTAACTCCAGCCACCTACTTACTGTAAATTTGTGCTAGACCTTCTGAGTCTGAGAAATGCAAATAGTAAGGTACTACTATCTTACTTGTGTAAAACAATGTGCAATGCCAAAACAAAACAAAAAGAAAGGGCATATTACGGCTTTAAAATAGTTAAGATATTAGCTATCAGAAGTATAGTTAGAAAGGCAAGTATCCTTAAAATGTTAACTCATAATTAAAATTTAATGGCTAATTTTGACTGTAGTTCTTGTGGAATTTTCTGCAACAAAGGAATTTTGGTTCTGTTCAAAATGATGGACAAGGACTTGGAAGCCAGAGCACAAGGGAGGGATAAGCAGAAAAATCTCAATAGCCTCACAGAATTCCCTGAACTGAAAATAATTGAAGACAGAGGGAATATCTGTGGAAGTATATATGCCTGCTCTGATGGCAGTCTTCCCTTGGGCAGGCTGTTAATGGTCACTGCTGGAAATAAAATACAGAGTTACATCAGCCCTTGGGCAGAACCAACATACTTTTTCACATGTCCTTTTCTGAAGAAATGTGAGGCACTGAATTCTAAATTTAAAGTTCATTCAATAGTCATTTAGTTCTCCATGTCCATGGCAAGAATGAATAAATGTCATCATGCTAACATGATCTATTTTGTGGGACATGATGTTCCTCTGCTGCGGGATACAGAAGGCTATAGGCGTTCAGAAAACACAAAATTTTCACAAGATCCTTTCTAAAATAAATAAGGATATCAGTCCTAATATTCTGACTTTTTTTCTATCCTATTCTATTTACAATCTTCCTATTATTAATAATTCTAATGTTTTACACTAAAAATACCATGCTTTACTTCTGTGTACCATTGGAAAGCAATTCTCTGTACTCCAAAGCTTGAATGAAATTCTTCATACAGTTTGGGGAAAATGTGGAGGTGTAGAACAAAAACAATTCTATAAAATGAAAATTCATTGTAATAAGCATTTTTTTTTTTTTTTAGACAGAAGAAACTGGGAGTGACATGAATTAGGAGAATTCTCATTCAGTATAAGCATGGAAAAGCTACATGAAGTTCATCCTTAAAGTATAAAAATAGTTGAAAGACTTTTGATCAGACAAAAAAATACCTAAATATTCAGAAACTCATCTCTGTCTGCTGTCTGGTTTCTGGTCTTACAACAAGAGAAACACAAGAGCATGGATCTAGACTAATTAAAAGAAAATCCCTAGGTGCTATTTAATAAAAGCTGAACTCAAACCACAAACACATAATCTGGATTTAAACTTCCTTGAGTTACTGACATTCCCATTTGTTATTTTTCTTTGATAAGATTGAAATAAAAGCAAATACAGTGACCATGCTCCTGTATTTATTGAAAGGGGCACCTCTTGCACTCTGGCCATTGTGCAGCCTTGGGTAACCATTCCTTGGCACACTCTGGGGTTTGTGGTTACTATCACTCAGACACAGCATATTAAACTAACTTGGGCATGAAGGATCAATGATAACAATCAGCCAATTCCTATTTTCCAGTCAGACCCTCGGGACAGAACAGAAGTGTGGAAGAGGAGTACTTTTTATCAGCAGGTAACTGCTCATTGGCAAACAGTGTTTTCTACATGACCTGGATAAAACCAGTAGCATTCTGTAGTTATTTGATCTCTGCTTTAGAGTTAAAACAGAAGTTTTGGCTTTAAAACAGTAAATGTAAATTGCATGTAGACTTTTATAAACTTATCTGATACTTTGTAACTGTAAGATATATTCTAAGATACCTGAGCTTCATATGATACCATAAGCACAAATGATTTTAAAATGAAAGTAACAATCTAAGTCTGGAAATACAGAATTGAGGACATGATTTTAGGCACTTCAATAAAATTATTGGCTTCAGAGGGACTGTTCAAATGCTGTAAGTAGGTGCAGAACTATCTAACAGCAAGTTCTGGAGTTGTATCTATTTTCTTTTGATTCATTTCCACATTTGAAAATCTGTCTATTAGGTGAACAGTCTCGACTACTTCTTAAAAATGAAAACTGATTAAAACATTCCATATACTTATAAAACTGGCTGGAACTTCATCACACAAACATACAGCCAAAAGAGTGTGGAATTGCAAGTTGGGCTTTGAAGACTGTCTTTGGATGTCTGGTGATTTGACAGTGCAGTTAATCATGATACAGCAATGCCATAGCTTGGTAAATGCTGTGCCTGAGATGTTAGCAAGCTGTCACTTTTGCAAACAGATCTAGCAGACTGAAATAAGAAGGTAAATCTTAATATTACCCACAGGAGTTGGAAGGGTTTTTCCCAAGCTAGGAAGTTTGGGAATTCTCCTCTGCTTTCAGTAAGTGAGAATATTGCTCTCACTCCTAATATTGTTTCACTTCCTGACTTGAGATAAAATTTTGAGATTACAAAGGAAAAAAACAAACAAACAGAGGGCTAGAATGTTGTTTACAGAATTAATCTGAGTAGAAACTTAATAGCTTGTCCTAGTATTTTTATTTGAAATGCTAATCAGAAGGAGCAAATATGCTAAATCCATGTTTCTTTCTCTTTTGTAGTTTTGAGCAAGGATTCCTGTTCTACCTGGGGAGGAGGGCATTTTTCAACCTTTGATAAATACCAGTATGACTTCACTGGGACTTGCAACTACATCTTTGCAACTGTATGTGATGAGACCAGCCCAGACTTCAACATTCAGTTCCGTCGTGGGCTGGACAAAAAAATTGCAAGGATCATTATTGAGCTTGGACCTTCTGTTGTCATTGTTGAGAAAGGCAGCATTTCTGTCAGGAGTGTTGGGTAAGATTCTGCCATAAATGGGATGTGAAGTGTTTAGATATAGCAGGTGCACTAAAGACTGCTTTGTGTCAAAAATTCATTAACAAATTACTCAAGTTAACATACCTAATTGGACTCTACTCCTATCTTGTCAGTTTTAGGTCATAATTCCACCACACCCAAATTCATGGTTACATGTTCATGAAACATATAACTATGCTCTAATAAAACCAAACCAAGTGAAGATGCCAGGTCCTGTCCAAACATTCTCAGTAGTAGAATCACTGTGCAACTCATTTTCAGGTGATTCTTCTATGAAACCGCTGACATGGATTTTCAGTCAAAGAAAGTTTCAAACGTTTTGAAATGTCACAATTAAAAAGGAAAAAATTCTCTCTCATGTTGCTGCAAGTACTCAGACTGTGTGTCTATCATATAAAAACCCCCCAAAACTAGTATCTGCATTATCTTGCTATGAGGTTGGTTTCTCTTGTCACCTTCTTTCAGTGTCATTCAGTTGCCTTACACCAGCAATGGAATCCAAATAGCCCCTTATGGACGCAACATCCGCCTGGTGGCCAAGCTGATGGAGATGGAACTGGTGGTCATGTGGAACAACGATGACTACCTCATGGTCAGTAAAATCTCCTCATAGAGCACAGAAGAAAATTATCTCTGATTTACTGGAATGGCAGGAACTCTCTGAACTTAATGGGGGCTTTTGCATGTATTTATTATTTGGATATTTATTCTTTTCCTGTTTTATCCATTCTTCTTGACATAAACAACTTTGAACATTACTTTCACTTGCAGCATTGGTAGTTAGTTAAAGCCACCAGTGCTGAGATTTGTGGATATTTTTACACATTTTAATCTTTCCTCATGGTATTCCAGCAACTGCAATGTTTTGCTTAAGAGATGTTGTTTGAAGTTGGGTAGAACTTAATATTGTACACCATAGTTTGGTCTTTTTTATTGGGCTTCCCTGGGACATCTTTTGTTTCAAACATCAAGTGCTTCTACCAGTTTCTTTTTTCTTTCCTTTTTCTGAATCTTTTCAGGTTTTCCCTTCAAAATCCACAATACATTTTCTCTGTGTGACCTGTGATATTATTGCCACAAAAGACATTCAATTCTAAATTAAGTTTGCTAAAACAAGGAGATAAACAAGGAGATAAATCTAGCAGATTAATCAGCATTATTATCACATATGTAAGAGAAAATGCGACTGTGATGGCTTAATCTGACTATACAAAGAACATGGTTTTATTTCTCTGATCTAAGATTTTCGTAATAATATATTGTTTGTAGCCAGTAGTAATACTACCAATTTAGTCTCCAGAACAATGGAGAACTGAATAACCTTCTTCTGAAAATAAATTTTCATCCTGTAACCTTAAGTTTCATAAGAGAAGAGACCTGAAACACGTTTTCTGTCAACAAAGATATTATCAGGACTTCAGCATTATTTTCTTAATTTTCTGGCTCCTTAGAATGTTATCCCCCCTCAATTCCCTGTGTTTTCAAATCTTACTCTTTTTATTAAATACTAATTTTACAAAATCGTGATTTGCCTATTGGGAAAATACTTCACTGCTTACAAAATTCTTCATCCAGAAAAGTCACTGAAATTAATGAGAAAAATCACTTTTAATTGGGTGCTTGAACCGAATTTGTTTGAGAAAGGTATTGCTGTGTAGATATCTTTACTTAGGGTGACCCTTTTAAATGTTGGGGTTTTTTTATTTTATTTTAGGTTTTGGCTGAAAAAAAATACATGGGGAAAACGTGTGGAATGTGTGGGAACTATGACGGTTATGAACTGAACGAATTTGTGCGTGAAGGTAAGAGACAAGAACATTTCAGACAGAAGGAGAACGAGCTGAAGGGAGTCAAAAGGTGAAAATTGAATACTGTGATAGCATTGCTGTGTTTTAGAATTGAGTAAAGCAGACCCATGGGGCACCAACATACATGATTATGCTACAATCTGTTATGTGCTATGAGCATAATATAATGGGTTCCTCACACGAGTGATAAGGACTCTTATCTTTTAGAAACAGGATCACACTCCTAAACTTCTACAAAAGGCAGTTGTTATCATTAGGAGGATTAACTAGTAGGACATTTAACAGTCAAAGAGTAAGATCTGAGTTTTGCTACATCACAGCAACAAGTAACAAAATCAATGCAGTCTTTGTCCTGACAAATTGTAACCCTTCAATTTCCAGGTAAATTGCTGGATACATATAAATTTGCTGCAATGCAAAAAATGGATGATCCATCAGAGATCTGTCTGTCCGAGGAGATACCAATTTCCACCGTTCCTCACAAAAAATACGTAAGAAAGATCTTCTTGGCTTCTCTGCAGCATGACTTTTAGTTGAGGGGAGCAAGATAGATGGATAGAAATCAACAACAGAGAGGCAATTTATTAAATTTATAATAATTTATAAAAATTACTTCCATGCAGTCAACATCTGTATAGCGTGATATGAGAAAGGAGTTCTTTGCATTAAAATACATTTGAATAAAAGCCCACGGGCGTTTTTAAGGCTAGATATAAATCACTCATAAAAATCAACCAGCATTTAGCTCACAGCTTTCTGGAATTCCATGCAGGACATCACAGGAAATTCATGGAAACCAGTGAAGCTTAAACAACGTTTTATCTAAAAGCTAAAGACCTGACACTATAAGCTGTACAGATCTGAAGATATTTACAATGCCTAAAACATATTGCCAGATAACAGCACTGATAACAGGGACAACCACCATCAACTGTGATCACTTACAGAAAATCAGTGTGCCTGAGAACCTTTGAGACCTTACACTGCAACAAGCAGTGTGATAGGCACCATAAACATGCAGGCAACACAAATGCATCAAGTGCTCAAAGAGGAAAGAATTTTTTGATCTTCACATCTGGGATGTTTTTCATGGAAGTGAATTGCCATGAGAAAACACATTTCCTGTATGTAATGTTCTCAGCCATTTTTAGGGGGGTTGATGGAAGAAAAAGTGACTTAATTTTCAACATAATGAGAAGCAGAATTATTTCAATATGTCAAGTTCTTTCTATTGTACAATGGATTTGTATTCCCTTCTGTCTATAAATTTCTCACGCATTTTAAGTCAAACACGCATTATTAAGCTCCAGGGGGAAAAGCAAAGAAACCAACAAGAAAATCATAAGGAGCAGTGTTATTCCATTTTGGTCTTCATATGAAGGAAACACCACCAGGAACAATTTTCTTTTTCTTTTTATTTAGGCCATGATCTGCTCTCAGCTCCTTAATTTGGTGTCCCCAACCTGCAGTGTGCCCAAAGACAGCTTTGTCATTCGTTGTCAGCTCGATATGCAGGACTGCAGTGAGCCAGGACAAAACAATTGCACTTGTTCTACACTGTCAGAGTATTCCAGGCAATGTGCTATGTCACACCAAATGGTGTTCAACTGGAGAACTGAAAACTTCTGCTGTGAGTTCAAATGATTTATTCATGAGAGACTGCTTAAGTTTCCTGGGTCTTAAATAGAGGGGTTATGATAAATGACTGGAATATTATTAAAAAGTCTCTACTGTCTTTAATCAACCAAATTATTTTCTACAGAGAAGAGTGGTCTTTGATAAAGCTGTAAGAAGGAGAGCAGGGAAACCTCAAAGAAGAAGGAAGCTCCAAACATAGCTCTAATGTCTAGATCAGTGACAATAAAACAGATGAACATCCACCAAGTGAAAACTGTTTAACTTCTCAAATTTCCTACAGGAGGCTGCTTGCTCTAAGCACAGTTTTCTTATTACTGTACTTGGGAAATTAGCCAGTGAAGAGACAGCACTTTTAAATAGCCCCTGAAGTCTTTGAACCTTTTTGCTAATAATTGACACAGCTCCTTTTATTCAAAGATGATTTTCAGTAGTCCTTTTTCAAATGCTTAACTTTCTTATTTACAATGACTGATTGGAAATAAAACCTTGAAATAAGATGGAAAATCTGATTTGTGGTACTTCATTAGGCTGCAGTATGACCTGTTTGCCATTTTCCAAGCTTCTGAAAAAAATGTTTCCAATTTTTGGGCAAGAAAAATGAGAAAAAGAGTATATATGAATATATCTATATATATGAACATATATCTATATATGAATATATATGATGGTAACAAAGAATACTCAGATGATGAAGTGAGTACTGAGGCAGGAAAAAGGAATGTTAGTGTCAGAAATCAGAAATTCTTTTCCTTGCTAGGTGGTAGATGAAGTATTCTTCTATGTTTACACTTCAAAAATCTTAACACTCCCACTGTTTGTTGCAGCTGTGGGAAAATGTTCAGCGAACCAAATCTATGAGGAATGTGGTTCTCCATGTATTAAAACCTGTTCCAACCCAGAGTACAGCTGTTCCAGTCACTGTACCTATGGCTGCTTTTGTCCAGAAGGTATCATTTCATCACATTCTTAATGGATCACACAAATATTTTTTGCACATATCCAGTCAAGTGGAATGGACTGCTTAATAATGAACTAGCTGTGCATTTCAGGGCATTGTGCTGCTAGAACTGCTCTTTCTCAGATAACATAATGTAACTGAACTCTTGAGTAATTGTGGTCCCTAAAGATGGTTGGTAACTCTTTGCAAGAAGAGAGGTATGGACACATTTTCCTCACAAGACCATGGTTTGTGATGGGATAATGATATTCCGTCTGCTTAAATTTCTTCACTTAAATATTGCATTGATCAAGCACCAGAAGAGGTAGCATACCTCATGGGATTTCTGCAATATTATGGGAATTTTGTAAATTCCCTTTAAAATAATTCAAGATTAACTCATTGCAGAAATTGTGATTGTTACTATCATTTGCATTTCAAAATAGGACAATTGACTGTGCTTTCATATGACAAAGTAGTCAAAAGCTGTTGTCACTTGTGAATATTCAGTTTCATTTTAATTAGGAGAAAATCTGTGTGTTACACCTCTGAGTATGGGCACTGGCTGTGCAAGAACAGCATTCTCAGGCTAATTTCAGAAAGCATTCAAGCCATAATAACTGTAGTGCTGAGTGAGGATGGGGGAAAATGATTTTGTTTATCTTCTTTGGCAGGAACTGTTCTTGATGATATCTCGAAGAATCGGACATGTGTTCACATTAGCCAGTGTCCATGTACACTGAATGGGAAAACATATGGTCCTGGTGAGACAATGAAAGCAGCTTGTAGGACCTGGTGAGTAGCAGCAGGTACTTCCCAGAGAGTATGGAAAGTACCTTCACCAGACAATTGGAAAATTTTAACCTTTTAAAGGACAGTACCTTTCCCGATTTGGGAAAGTTTGCTGACAATCCATACAAGAGTTCAGCAGCTTTGAATTAAGATGAGCAACTTCAGCTGATACATGTAGACAACGAAAATCAAAGCATAGAAATCATAAGGAGAAAGTGATAAAAACAACATATTTCATTACTAGGAAGTAGCTGACGCTTTAGAGCATGAAGAAAAGAATAACCTTGGAGAGAATTTCTTGTTTTCTGCAGTAAATGTGTGATGGGTCAGTGGAACTGCAAAGACTTGCCCTGCCCTGGAAGGTGTTCACTGGAAGGAGGCTCCTTTGTTACCACGTTTGATTCGAGGCCATATCGATTCCATGGGGTTTGCACTTATGTTCTTATGAAGGTAATTTCCTGCAGTCTAGAAACACAGAATATAAAATGGATATATTTTTGTCTGTCTTTGGTTTCCTATTGGAACACAAACTGAGGACTTCATAAGATACACATTTATTCTACACATCTATACTGACAATGGCTTCTCTTTTAACTTCTCTTTTCTGTTTCCCTCCAGAGTTCCAGCCTGCCACACAATGGAACCCTAATGGCTGTTTATGAAAAGACTGGTTATTCTCATTCTGAGACATCACTTAGTGCTATAATTTACCAATCTACAAAGGTAGGTATTCCCCCCACATGCTCCATCCAACCTTTCATCACTAGATTAGCAAAATAAGCGCTCAAAGTCATTGCTAGTAGTTTGAACTTAAAAATTATGGAGGATAAATACTGAAGATATGTTTCTGCTCATGTATACACTGTAAAGATCTCAGTTGCTATATTAACTCAGGAAGGTATTTTCAAAGTGAAAACTAAAAGGAGCATGTTATAACATGAGAAAATACTTGAATTACTTTTTTTCTTTTGCATAGATCATTGACAGTATAGTTGCTTAACTTACCATATAAATACCACCTGTAAAGATAGTTACTTCTGGTTCCATGTCCTCTTCTTACAGGACAAAATTGTGATTTCTCAAAATGATCTCCTTACTGATGATGCTGAACTTAAGCGGCTGCCTTACAGATCAGGTATAAAAAAGGGAAATATAAGCTATATCCAAATTAAATTAAATGTCTGTTTTTGCACAACCCAGCATCTTTCACAATCTTTAAATTGCTAATACCAGGGGCTTTAGAGGAAGGTTAAAGTCTTTCCTGCTGCATCTGTTCCTCTGTGGAGGTTGTGTGTGGGAGAAGAGTTGTAGACAGAGTGCTAGAACATTTATATATGTGTTAAAATCGTTACCTTGCACCAACATCTCTATTTTTAAATGTGCTTGTTCCTTCAGGAGACATCACTGTTTTCAGACAGTCCTCCATGTACGTTCAGATGCATACAAACTTTGGGCTGGAACTTGCAGTTCAAACATCACCTGTGTTCCAGGCCTACGTGAAAGTTGGATCACAATTCAAAGGCAGAACACTGGGTAAGTAAACAAGAAATGTGGAGAGTATAATTTTGAAAACTTAGTATTCATCTTTTAGGAAATCAATTTTCTTCTCCAGATTCAAAGAAAAAAAAAACATGCATTGGAAAACTGAATTGATTTTTCACTTGTAACTTTAAAATGAATCCAAGAAACTAGAGGCATCACATTTTTCATACATAATATAATGCTGTTCTGTATTTTATGTGTGCCTTTTTCAATATGTGCTTTACTACACAATGAAGCAGCAACAAATGTCTGTGTGGTCTCTGCATGACCACTGTAAACACAATGAGACTAAGAATCTGAAAGCTTCTCAGCTGGTAGTCATTAGAGATGTTTATTGCACAGCAACATTAGCCAGACAAGCATATTTTGCATTCTGATTATGGAGAACTACAGAGAGACTTTGGCTTTTGCAAAAGCCTAAACATATATTCTTTGTCCTTAGGCGTTTAATATACATAAGAAAAAAACAACTTCAAAAGTGTTTCCTGACCTTTCTCTTTCGCATTATTTAAAACTACTTTTCTTCTAAAAAAAAACGACAAAAGCTTCTCTATGATTTTGTCATTGATTAGAAGCTGACACGCTTAACTTGAGGAGGCAGAGTGACCGAATGTGTACATAATCAAGATTCTCTGGCCACTTGACCCAAGTATTCATTGACACTCTATGTGGAGCTTTTGAATCCATTTTCTCACTGTTACAGAATGAAACATAGGCCATTGTGCACACATTCTTTAATTTCCGCCGTCCCTTGCATTTCTGATGTTGTCAGGTTTGTGTGGCAATTACAATGGAGACACTACAGATGACTTCATGACTAGCATGGATATCACTGAAGGGACAGCCTCCCTGTTTGTAGATTCCTGGAGGGCAGGAAATTGCCATCCTGCCTTAGAGAGAGAGACTGACCCCTGCTCTTTGAGCCAACTGAACAGTAAGTAGATGATGCTGTGCTAACTGATCTCTCCAGCTGGCTTTGTCTGACATTCCATAAGCCCATACCAGGAAAATGAAAGAGCTGGACAGAAACAGACTGAGAGGGTTAAACATCACAAATTCTGTCACCAACAAGCCATTTCTGCTTTCTAGAGTACATATCAAGTGAAAGCTCATCAAATCCCATTCTAGAGATCTGGGATTCGGATGATAAATGAGAGGGATTTGATCTGTCCAGTAAAACTGCAATGTCCACAGTTGTCTTAGGCTTGCTTAACAATACTGAGACTGAAACCCAGGTTTTGTCTTCCCAAGTCTCTGTTGCTATTGGTCTTAGAAAATAAATGGTGAAAATAAAAAACTCTACTGAGCTGCTTGTACAAGAATAGAGTCTGAAAGCTAACAAGCTAAGAAGTTGTCCTATTGTTCAGTGCATCATTGCCAAAAGTTCACCTAAAATACAAGTTTTTTTAAAAAATCTCCTTTTTGGTTTTTTTCCCTCTAACTTTCCCTTTCTAATGTTTATTGTTTGCTTTCATTAGAAATATCTGCTGAGACTCATTGCTCCATTCTGACCAAGAAGGGTACAGTGTTTGAGAAATGCCATGCTGTGGTGAACCCTATTCCTTTCTACAAGGTAGGAAGTTACGATGGGTGTTGTACAGAGAGAGTCCAAATATAAACAAGATTGGACTCATATACGGCGTCCCACGCATTGAATCAGCAATGCAGAGAAGCTTAGGAACAGGTGTGGTTTTGAAAATTATGTCTCCACCACACTGAAAATCTGCTTGGTCACAGGCACCTATCCATGTGAATCAGAAAATATTTTTGCTCATGCTGCAGTTGTCCATGACAACAACTTTAACTGTGCAAAGTATTGATTTTACCATGTGCATAATTGAGCTCAATATATTTGCCAATCTACACAAAACATTTTGAATATTAAAAATGAGAAGCAGCAGATAAACAAAGGCATTTTTTAGGGTACTAAGTATATTTTATTTACATCAGCAATGCAGTTACTCAGATATTTTCCATCAGTTTTAGTTTTGCAATAATAAGTATCTTAGTGTGTGACTTAGTTCTGCAATTCAGCATAGAATCATATTGGTTGGGAAAGATTTTTTAGATTGAGTCCAACCATAAATACAACAATGCCAAGTCCACCACTACACCACGTCCCTTAATGTCATGTCCACACATCTTTCAAATACCTGCAGGGTTTAGCACTTCCAAATATCTGGTCCCCACTAACAAAGTATTCTCCATGTGTTGGGTTTCAGAGATGTGTCTACCAAGCCTGTAATTATGAAGAGACCTTTCCTTATATATGTTCTTCTCTGGGATCATATGCACGAGCATGCAGTTCCATGGGTTTAATCCTTGAGAACTGGAGGAGCAGTATGGACAATTGCAGTAAGTACCTGAACCAACTCTTAGTGGTCTGCCATCAGATAAATAATGAGGAAATAGTGATGATAAAGAAGAGCTGAAATTGGATGACAGACATCCAACTGTTGGATACCCTTCTAGTGTCTGTTTGAACAGGATTGTTATTTCAAGACTATATGAAAAAGATTATTCATATGCTTTAAGGTGAGCATATGGATGCTTCCAGGACTTGATAATTAAGGTACAGAATAGACAGAAAAATAAAGCCATCCTGTAAAATGCAAAAGAACCAGGGAAAACTTGACTACAGATTTGATTTTATTTTATTATTTTGCAACTCAGACATAGGCACAGGTTTCACTGTTACTCAAAATACATTGATATTTCTGCTAAGCTTTCCTTTGCATTATTAAATTCCAAGGCTCACAAAAAAGCTGAAAGGTATTTTATCTGCATGAAACTTCTGAACAGCTGCATAGTTTGCTGTTAAGTCTTGGTCTGCAACATGTTCTGCTAGAGCTCCACATCCACAGGAAGAGAAGCAGCAGAAAGCATTAAGCATTGAAGCTGTTGACACAAAATAAGCAGCACATAAGCAAAAAGGACATAAGTAAAAGGACATAATCTTTCACAAGGAAGGTGATCAGTAAATGAAGGTTAACATACACTTTTGTCTTGTTTTATAGCCATTACTTGCACTGGCAATCAAACATTCAGCTACAACACTCAGGCATGTGACAGGACATGCTTGTCACTCTCTAACCGAGCCCTGGAATGCCATCCAACTGATATTCCTGTTGAAGGCTGCCAATGTCCTAAAGGATTGTACCTGAACCACAAGAATGAGTGTGTTCGTAAATCTCATTGTCCTTGCTACTTAGAGGACAGAAAGTACATCCTGCCTGACCAGTCAACAATGACTGGTGGGATCACCTGGTAAGTGGGTCAAGAATAAAGGTGAACAAACTGAAAATGGAGGTGGGGGGATCTTCATGTCTCTGTCAAGGGTCAACTGCAGTAAGCAGATGAGCACCACATAGCCACTTACTGCAGCAGGATGTGGAAGAGAATCAGAACAACAGCAAGAAACCTTATGGGTAGGGATATAGACAGTTTATTAAATTGCTTTATTAATAATAAGCAAAAAGCTTATTTAATAAGCAAAGCAGCATGAACAATCAAAGCTAAGTAAGGAATTGATTCAGAACTTCCCATCAGACATTTCCAGGAAAGCATGAATGTTCCATGCATAATGGTTTGTTGGGAAGGTGAGTGCTGTAACTCTGAACATCTCTCCTTCTTCCTTCTTTACCTGAGCTTTTATTGCTGAGCTTCATGTGGTATAATATGGAGTATTTTTTGTGGTCAGTGGGGTCAGCTGTCCTGGCTGTGTCCCCTCCCAGCTTTTATTTAGAATGGAAATGTTTTGCTTCTCAGCCTCCTCCCTGGCAGGGCAACCTGAGGAGCAAGAATGCTGGGACACTGCTCAGCACCAGCTAAAACAGCATTGTGTTATCAACATTGTTTTGGTCACAAATCCAAAACATAGCACTACTGAGCTGCTACAAAAAAACATTAACTCCATTCCAGCCCAAACCAGTACAGTGTCTCTTATTTTTAATAGCATAAATTTATTTTTCAAGACCTCTTTTTTGCCCTTTTCTAAACTACAATGCTGAACAGAAAGGATTTGACTTACCTTCAACTTGGAAATTTTACAGAGAAAAACAGAAAATAATAGCTGAGATCTGATTATTCCTACTAGAAGATTTTGTCAACAGCACTTAGCTAGATACAAACTTCTGGAATGACTTGATAGGCCATCCTCATAGTGACAACTGCCTACTAGTGATAATAGTGATAATAGGCTACTATTCACTTTCCAAACTGATGTTACTGTATAATACAAAAAATGAAGAGACAAGTTGACTCATATTCCACTTCAAAGGATGAGAAGGAGGTGGTAACCTAAGTGAAGCATTTTTAATAAAACAGTTTTGCAAAAAATCAAAATGTCTTTCTTAGAAGATATTTTCATTGATTTTTCTTTTTCTCCCTAGCTATTGTGTTAATGGGAGGCTAAGTTGCACAGGCAAGCCTCAAAATCCTGCAGGTATGAGTCTGATATTGTTTACTTAGAAACATGTTTTGTCCTTTATGTTGTAAAATTACTACTTTGCTGTTCTCTTTTATGTTAATTTCTCCTCAATGTTCATTTTTCTTCCTTTTTCCTAGAAAACTGCAAAGCTCCTAAGAGATATGTATCATGTTCTGACAATTTAGAAAATAAGTATGGAGCTGCATGTGCCCCTACCTGTCAGATGCTGGCTACTGGAATTGAATGTGTGAGTTTTACGGCTCTGGGATATTTATCCTTTTGAGAGAGGTAGAATGTTTGAGTTGTTACTTAGAACTGGACTACATTGCTTCTAGTGAAATTTGAAGGAATTCTTTTCATCTGACACGATGCAGTTAAATACCAGGCTGTGGACACAAAAACTGTGTGTATATTTAAGAAGTGATTAAAGAAATTAATCGCATAAATTAATGAATTGAATTCTATTAGAATAAAAATCCATTAAGGATTCTTAACTACAGGACTATAATCTCTTGCTCAGATACTCCATAAGCTGTGACTCCATGTCAATGGAAATATGGGGTTTATGCTTCCTGTTTTATTTTTTCTCAACTCTCTGCTGCTGTTCATCACAGAATGCAGGAGGCCTGGGCTAGGTGAAGATCTGGGTTGTCCTGGTAGGGTTTTCTGATATTAAAGAAACAGACTAATTGGAAGAATTGTAATAAGCTTCCTTGATATGAAGACTATTCTGTTGTACTGTTTCTGAAAGACTGGTAGGGATGGAACGTAAATTTTTCAGAGGCTTCAGGTATGTTTAGTATCTCAGACCACAAGTATATATTACAGCTTCACTGAAACTAGTTCAGCTGACAGCATGTTAATACAAGGAACATCACAAAACTAAAATCAAGCCCAAACAGAACTTAGCACAGGTTCATTCGTGACACCATTCACATCCAGGATAAAATGCATCTCACATTTTTAATTTTTGTTTCCCAGATACCCACGAAATGTGAATCAGGCTGTGTCTGTGCTGATGGCCTCTATGAAAATCTCGATGGCAAATGTGTGCCAGCTGAGGAATGTCCATGTGAATATGGTGGCCTTGCTTATGGAAGAGGTGAACAAATCCAGACTGAATGTGAGATCTGGTAAGAATCACAGGGTTTTTCATTGCACATCCTCTGTTTAACTGAAGTGTTCAGCCACATAAAAATAAGTGTTTAACTGACAGGAGAGTAGGACATGGCAACAGCTGTAAGGAAGAAATACCGTGATGGAGTACAGGGATTAACAGAGAAGCTTAACATTTGATAATATATGTATGGATTAGAGTTATTGTACCAGCTTCAGGGATAATTTCTGCCTTATGTATGTTCAGGAATAAAGGCATTCAGTAGGGCCTGTGACTGTAAATGATATAAAGTCAAGTATTATTAACAATTCTACTTAAATAAAAATGAGGGCAAAATCTTTTCTGTAGATAAAAGCAGTAACCCCCAAAAAGATTCCCATCTCTTTAGCTGCATCCTTAAAGTACTTAATTCCCTTTATTCCCAGTTACTAATCTATTATTAAAAAAAAAAATGCTCCCCAAACTACACAGAGCAGTGACTTCTGATCTGATTAAGAGTAAAAATAAATTTGTTTTAGATATTATTTCTTTCATGTAAAAGCACAAAAATTATTTAAGGTTTCTTCTTTATTATGAATTCATTTTCTAGGCAGTCCATACATTTTAATAATGGTTCTCATATTAACTCTAACTTGGTCTCAGTGTACATAAGTCAATTAATTGAACATGTTATCAATAAAAGTGGATGTTTGAAATCTGTGTATATGAGTTTCTCTTCTCACTCCCAGCACTTGCACAAAAGGCAAATGGAAATGTGTTCAGAAAACAAGGTGTTCCTCCACCTGTAACCTGTATGGAGAAGGCCACATCACCACCTTTGATGGACAGCGTTTTGTGTTTGATGGCAACTGTGAATACATATTAGCCACGGTAACCTGCTTCCTCCTGCTTATTTCAGCAGCATCTCAGCATCAAGAAATAGCTAGATTTAAAAGACTAATAAAAATACACTAAGAAGCATCAATAAACAATACAGCACTTTGAATCTTCATAATGACTTACTGAGTTTCTATATATTATGTTTATTTCAATACCTAGAAAGAAAGCATTTTACTTCTATAAAAACATCGTTTTCTTGCAATTATAACAAATTTTAGATTTTTTAATAATATGTTTAAATAGTCATTGTATTCTGTACCAGACAAATATGTCTTTTAGTTTGACCAGCAAAGCAGGGGTCATCACCTCCCAAAACAGAATTGCTCATGACATTTTAAGCATCTTGTATTTTCTTATACTTTTATGTTTTAAGTTGGAAGACTTCAGGCACAGTCTATTGAGCTTTTGTGCTTCTTGTGATTTTTTTTGGTTTTTTTTTTTAGGATGGTTGCAGTGTTAACAGACCCGTTTCCTCTTTCAAAATTGTTACTGAGAATGTCATCTGTGGGAAATCAGGAGTTACATGCTCCAGATCCATCAGCATTTACCTTGGGGTAAGCTCTTCTTTCTGCCATTATCCAGCTGAATAGACTTTAAGACCAGGTTTTCTTCATTTTTGGAAGAGAAAAGTCTTGTAAGTGAAATGATGTGCTAAACCTAGAGCCTTGGTTTTAGTGGGAAATGCCATAATTGATTGGGTTTTTTAATTCTCATATTGTGTTTCATTCTCCAAGAATCTTGGCTATATAGAAGCCAGGAAATGTTGAAATTTACTCCGCAGTGAATTGCTCAATCAAACAATACTGTTTTCCTGCTGGAGCATCACAGCATCTGAACTTCAGCATGGAAAGTACTGAAACTTGATAAGTTGTAACTTCCAGATAAATTTTCTTCCAGAATCTGACAATCATACTGAGAGATGAAACCTTTGCTATTTCTGGGGAAAATTCTGCTGTACAGTACAAAGTGATAAAGAACGCCCTTCACCTGATGTTTGATATCATTATCCCAGGAAAATACAACATGACCCTTATTTGGAATAAGCACATGAACTTCTTCATCAAGATCTCCAGAGAAACACAGGTATTGCAGAATGATTTCCTTAAAGTGTTCCTCCATTCAGATTGAACTGCACATTTCATCATGGTTTCCTTGAATCTCTGTGGTGGCAAAGGTTTTCCAGAAATGCTACTAGCAATTCATTTTTATCATTATCTCCAAAACAGCAGAGATCTTCACAAAAGGCTAACTTTTAAGGGATTTCTGTATTGCATTCAGGAAATTTTTGAGTTAAGTGTTTGTAATTTATGCAACTGCACGTTTGAATTTGATCTCTAAATGATGACAATTAGAGTTTAGAGGAGAAACCCATGCACAAGTATGTTATGAGAAATTGCAGATGACATTCACTCCTAAAGCACAGGAAACTGTCAGTAATCAGAAGGGAAGGTGAGAATTGTAACTTGCTGAACTGATGTTGGTGCTTTCATTGAATCTAGGAAACCATCTGTGGTTTATGTGGGAACTATAATGGGAACATGAAGGATGACTTTGAAACTCGAAGCAAGTATGTGGCATCAAATGAACTGGAATTTGTCAACTCTTGGAAAGAGAATCCTCTCTGTGGGGATGTGTACTTTGTAGTGGACCCTTGTAGCAAGAACCCTTATCGTAAAGCATGGGCAGAAAAGACATGTTCCATCATCAACAGCCAAGTTTTTTCTGCCTGTCACAATAAGGTAAGAATTTATTTGCTCGGTTTTTAAATTTATAATCTGTATAATCTGTATTCTTTCAAATGCTCATGCTCCAACAGGTGATTTTCTGTTTGGCAAAACGTTTCAATAAAATACGTGTTAAAAATTTTATGGCTCACAGTTATGTTAATTTTCTTTTTTATCTGTACTTCATCAGCCCTTTTGTGAACACTAGTACTAAGTATGGTATTAACTGATTAGTTAAAACTACGAGAGTGGAAAAAGAAAGAAGACTTAAGAAGCAGGAATTAGTCAGTCAGTTGGTGACGCCTATGATATTGATCAATGCATTTTCAGGTGGTGAAAAGCAGTGAGAATTGTGGATAATGCTGTAGTGGCTATGTGTATACACAGAGCAGAATAGCACTAAATAGTTTTGGGAAATGAATGCCTTCCTTTTGCCATGCAGGTGAATCGGTTGTCCTACTATGAGGCCTGTGTGCGGGACTCCTGTGGCTGTGACATTGGAGGGGACTGTCAGTGCATGTGTGACTCCATCGCAGTCTATGCCATGGCCTGCCTGGAAAAAGGCATCTGCATTGACTGGAGGACCCCTGAGTTCTGTCGTGAGTTTCCTTAAGCTCTCCTAAAACAGGGTTAAGAGATTTTTATTGTCAGTATGTTCATTTGGCAACATGGGAAACTTATTAATAATCACCTCAAAGTTTGCATTTTCTCTGTTGGCAAGGAGTTGACCTCAGCCAGCTGGGTTTTGAAATCTCTACTTTCCTGCTAAATTAACCAAAATGTTTTAACTCTTTTTACTGTGGAGTAATGAGAGAGAAAATAATGTGGTCACAGAAAGCAGATTTTTTATTCTGCTATCACTGTATTGTGCACTGTGAGTTTGCCAGCAGAGAAAGCATGAAATTGTAAAAAAAATGTTTCACTTGAGCTCTGATGAAATCACCTTCTGTGTGGATGTCAAGGGAATGAAGACAGCTGTGTTGGCTGGAACACTGTAAAACAGGAAAATGACATCAAGGTGTTCCAAAACAGCACTATAGAGGAAAAAAGAGGATGAACATGCTGTAAATCAATGTTAGAATTGTTATCTTTGAGGGTTTTCTTTCCACATTTCAATATATGTATGTGAAATTTATGGAAATGGCTGCATACTGTACTTGCAAAAAGGAAACTGACTTCCAGGAGTTAAAATATATATTTACATCAGAAGCTAGTCACTTCAGTGAAGGTTTTTTTTATTCCAACTGTTAATTAATTTTGTTGTCCTTCTACTACTGTGGAAATATCATGCTGTTAATTTGAAAAAAAAAATCTGACTTCTCTATTGCTTGTCCTTTTTTTAGCTGTCTATTGTGAGTATTACAATTCTCATAAAAAAACAGGAGTGGATGATGCTTTTTCCCATGGCTACAATGATGACAAATGTGACTGGCACTACAGGCCTTGTAACTGTCCAAATCAAAACTACAAATATGTCAATATTGAAGGTAATAACCTCTACTACAGTAAACCAGGAAACAGTAACATCATTGTTTTCAGTGCTGGTTTTTGTTTTTTGTTTTTTCTTAATCAGTCATATCACAGTTAAATAATGGTAATCTAATTGATGTTATTTTTAAAGAAGTTTTGCTGATCTTTCCCTTACTAGTAGTGTTTTAAATACATAATCAACTCAGTAGATGTACTGTATTTAGTTTTATATCAAGCTCAGTCTGTCTGGAAGAGAAATTCTGACTTGCACCAAATCAAAAGAATGCACTGTACTTAGGAAAGAAAATATGTGACAAGATCAATTCATATTTTTATTAAACAAATGGATATAAATGGAGAAACCAAACAAATTCCTACATGGACAAAACCTTCTTTTGAGGATAACATTGGAAATACTTACCTGAATAGATGATAGTGCAATTGATACTATTTTTTATTAACAGAAATATATTCAATTATAAATAGTGTAAATTAAATACCTTTCTCGGAGAAATATAAAACAAACTTCTCTTCCCCTTTCTTCAGGCTGTTACAACTGCTCTCATGATGAATACTTTGACCATGAAGAGGAAAGGTGCATGCCATGTGGTAAGCAGCATTTCTTTCTCCACAGTAACTTGAAAACCATACTACAACATTTGTACAGACTCACAGAAGATATTTTTCTAATATCTCTCCAAAAATGAGTGTTCGTCTAAACATAACTCCCTTTCAAAATAAACCCATTACTTGTAAAAGAAAGTATTGGTGTTCTAATCTGTGTGAGACACAGGCCCAGCAGAGCTGTGAGTCACAAGAGACACACAGAAAAGGAGAATGTGTAGCAGAAGAGCAGATTTAGCTACTGGACTCAATAAATGTCTTTTTAGAGATTAAAAACATAATGATTTGAGGTTTATTACCATATGGCTTATTTCCATGAAAATATATCTTATTAAATAATGGTTTGGATAGACTGTAGCTAGACAGTTTGGATTTTCATGCAGTTGTAAAAAAAAAAAAACACCTTAAGAACAAAATTCTTACTACAAAATTCTATCTTGTGTAACCAAGATCTCAGCTAGTGATCTCTGTTACATACAAAACCATGTTCCACCATCCCTGAAAACTGAGGTGCCCTTAGCCATAAAAGTCATAACAAAGATAGGAAAAGCTTACTAGTGTTCATTATAATAATGAGATGTATTGATTTCTTTGTAATTAAGTCTTTTGATGTGAATTCAACCACTGAAATATGTAACATTAAATACTTTCAGGAATACCTCAGTAATTAGCACAATTCTTAGAATCCAATCCAATGAGATTTGCCTTATCTGGGATATTTTAATATGCTTTTATTCACAAATTTAACCTGTTTTGCCCTTATGTAACAGGACAAGTAAATGTGACCATCACACCCGAACCATCTTCTCCTTCACCAGGTTAGTTTACACAGTTGACCAACTGTGCAACTTACACACTGATATTCTGTCCTGATAAGTGTTTATGAAATCAGTACGGTCCTTTTCTGTGTGAGGGAGCAGCATTACCAGTTTCACATGCATAAATTATGAAAAATACCCTGGTGCCATAATATCCTGGGCTGTGTCAAAAGCTGTGTGGCCAGCAGGTGAAAGGATGGCACTGTGTCCCTCTGCTCTGATGAGAGCCTGCCTGGAATGCTCTGTCCAGCTCTGCAGTCTCTTATTCAAGAAAGAGGAGACCACAAAAATGACCAGAGGGCTGGAATACCTCTCCTGTGAGAAAAGGCTGAGATCTGGTGTTGTTCAGCCTGGGGAGACAAGGCTCCATGGAGACCTCTTTGTGGCTTTTCAAAACTTGAATGGGGCTTATAAAAAAGATGGGGACAGACTTTTTAAGTAGGGCCTGTTGTGATAGGATGAGGTGTTGGATCCCAGAAACCTGGATTTTTTGAGTTTTCTGTACTTTCTGGCACTGACCCCCTGGAGAACACTGCTTTTGACCTGAGGCCTTGGAGAAGGCTTCCAGATTTGAGTGATGAAGTTAAAATCACATTAAATAGAAGTGTATTTAAATAGAAGTGTGTGATTTCATATGGTGAAGAGTTTTAAATTTGAGGTTTTTATAATATAGTAATAGGTATAAGACAAGATGGAGGATTTGGGGTGGTTTCTCTTTGGGGGCTCATCTTCCTTCTTTGTGATTTCAGGTAGCAGTTTCTGGCTGGACAGCTAGTGCTGCACTGAGGGTCATGGGAATTCAGTTATTGGGTTAAAAGTATAAAAAATAATACAGGTGTTATTTCTCTATTGGACTCTTTAGCTTTTAGAGACCTTGTAGCCAGCTGGATTGATCTCCATTTTGTTCACTTCTGGCTGGTGGCTAGAAGTGCTGCTGAACGTCCTGTACCTTTGATAAGAGTTAATAAACAACCAAACCCAAACACGAGAAAATCCATTTCCTTCGTGTATTTTTTAATCCTAGTGCTGAGTGAAGACAGAAGAGACTCCAGACAAAGAACTGATTAAATGGTGCAAAACACTCACCACCTTTACAATGAGGGATAATGGTTTTAAATCAAAGGAGAGTAGATTCAGACTAGATAGAAGGAAGAAATTGTTTATGATGAGGCAGGTAAAACACTGGAAGATGTTGCCCAGGGAGACTGTTAAATGTCCTTAGCTGGAAGCATTCTGTTCAGGCTAGAGAGGCCTTTGAACACCCTGATCTAGTTGAATACATCCCTGCTCATTGCAGGGAAAGTGGATTAGATTATCTTTAATGGTCTGTGCCAACCCAAGTCATTCTATGATGAATCCATGATGAAAAGGAGCTCACAAAATTTATGCCAAATCTCACTAGGGACTGGCCATATAACACTTCAACAATTGAAGAAAGTCTTGATGGAATTGTGTGACTGACTATACCAAATTCCTGTAGCCTGATACAGGAAAGGAATCTACATATGCTGATCTTAAATTTGTTAGAAAATCCATTAATTTCCCTGAAGACAGATGGTATTGGAAAAATTTACATTGTGAGTTGTGTGAATAATTAAATTATGGATACTACTGGATATAGGATTGGAATATTGTTCCATCTCTGCTGATATGAACAAGTATTTATGCCAAATTCACTTTAAAGTGAAGAAAAACGTTTAAAGAATCTCCAAGAATACCAGTTTAATGTATTCACTGCACATAATAGCAAAGGAAGCAATAGATAAAAGCTCTTCAAGGTTTAATCTTAAAGGTAATGGGGTTTAATAATAGCTACTGCTAATAGCTATAAAAACACTTGTTTTACTTTAGAAAAATTCCATTTATATAGATATGTTATGAATAGATTCTTGAGCACTATTTCTTATCTTTTTGTTTTGTTTTTTTTTCCTCTTAGTAACAACAGTGCAGCCTGAAGTAACAAGGAGCTCTACCACAGGCACACTACCAACAGTACCTAGTACTTCTTCTGCAACAACTGTATCATCTGAGACTACAACTCCAACAATAACTGCAAAAATTACAGTTCCAAGAACTTCACCCTCACAACCTCTTGTCACAATTACTTCAACAACTGGTAGGTTTTTAGTGTTATTGTCTAAAATAAATTGTGGCAAACTTGCTATATACCTCTGTACATGGTTAAGATACCATTCCTAGGAATGTGTTTCAAGTTCATACAACATCCAAACATTAGATTCCAAATCATGAAGCAGGCAAAGCAGGCTTCCAGAAAGGAGGTTGTAAACCAGAAGTGTAGATTGAAAGTGCATGAAAAGATAAAGGATATAGGCATTAGGTTAAAAATACAATCAAAAAGTGACTCATCTGAGAAACACAATTAGAAGTTCTATAAGCAGTGAGTAAGCCCAGCTCCAGTTGGGTTTATTAGCTCAGCTTCAGTCTCTTTTCCACTGGTTCATTTATGGAGTTCAAGCAGCACCCAATCTACTGACTCTGAATAATGTAAGCAAGCTGCAAAGCAGAGTCATACAGGTATCAGTGTAGCAGCTTTGTCTGGGCTTCTAAAGGCCTGTTCTCTGGAGGATGACTCTGCCAGCATAGATTACTTTCAGATTCTGTGGCTTGTGGGGCCTCATTTAGCCTCATGCCAACATGCACTTCAGCTAATAAACCATCTTGGACCATGGCTGTCAGGGAAAGCAGAGGTGAACACATAAAAGCTGATATTGTGACAGATGATTTGTGCATTGAGGCAAGGAGAGTCTATAGCATGATGTTATTTTGCTTTTCAATACAAATTGCAGAAAGCTAAAAGTGTGGCTTTAGCTTTGAAACATAATAAAAGCCAATGGACAAAGCCCATATAGACTTTAGCCAAAGTGACAACAAAGTTAACTATTTAGAAAAAATTGTATTTTCCTGTATTAGATGTTTAATATAGAAAATGAGAACAGACACGAGACAATAGAAAACAAATATAAGTACAGAAATATTTGCTAAGCTTATGAGAACATGAATACAACAGTCATACTGAAAATATTCAAAAAATAAAAAATTATGTCTAAAATATTAATAACTTCTTTATATTTTTTTCTATGAATTGGTTACTCACATTATATTTTTACCTTTACTCCAAAAGAACATACAACATCAGTTTTTACCACACCAAACATGACTACCACCATCACTACCCCTTCCATAACTACCTCAGTGAAAAGAACCGTGGCCACTACACCAAAGTCTTTTCCCTCATCAACCGCTGCTTCAACAGAGACAGAACAAATAGGGGTCACCTCACCACCCTTCAAGACCACCACCAAAAGGGAGATGGCAACCTCCTCAATACCTACTGAAGCCACAACTCAGAGCACAACTTTCAGCCAGCCTAAACTAACAACAGCAGGTAAATAGCACTTGCTTATATCTGTCAGGTGAAGCCATCACTCACAAGACATATGTCAATATACTCCTTATAAAAAAACCTCAAGCATTGTTACTAGTGGTCTTAACATTGCAAATAGAAAGGAAAGGACAAGGATAAGAAGTTTGATTAAAATGGAAATTTGTCTTGCCAACAGAGCAAGCATCTGACATCCAAATACTATGTTAAGCTAACATTTCTCTTCCAAGACTTCCTTCAAATTTAGACAAAATCTCTCTACGCTTCAAAGCAAGTTCTTGAAAACTCACAAACCACAGACTATATATTCCCCCTACCCCTTGTAAAAAATGCTCCCCCCAAAAATATTAACCTTTTTGAGTGTCTGACACTCAATATTCAAAGAAGGACATACAGTCTCCTCTGAGGCTGTATGGCAACATGAATTACTACATTAGCAACCGGCCAGCTGGGACAGTGTGTGGTGGGAAGTTTATTGTAATGGGAGGGCAGCTGTATACTCTTTTCCAAATCCAGGTCTCTCCCACAAACTACTGTTGGGGTGCATATATCTGGGTCTTCTTGTGCAAGCAATTACAGCTTCCTCTAGGAACCTTGCCAGCTCCCAGCCATTACTAATACTCATTCTTTCATCACAGAGAGTGAGGGAACAGAAGCAACCACTCAGCACTACCCAGAAGGTGAGTAAAAGGGACTAGAGAGATGCCCTTGGCCTAAAACTCTGCTTCAGTTATCCCAGCTTTTCCAGATGGTGGTCTTGCCCAGTTTGGAATACCTGGGAGGGGAAATGTGCATCCAATGAGGCTGTCCTTTCCTCAGGAGCTTCAGAAAAGGCAGGGAGTGTAAAATTTCAGAGGCACCCTTCAGATCCACCCTCAATCAACTTGTGTTTTTCTTTCTGTAGTTGTCACCCACATAAGAACAACGTTGACACAGCCTGTAGAGCATCTTGTCAAACAGACACAGACCACCCCTGCCACATCCACCAGCAGCACCTCTGTCCCAAGAGAGACCAGACCTGCCACCAGCCCAGAAATTCCACTGACAAGGACATTTCCAAGCTCGAGCTCTTTGCCTGTCACCCCAGCCTCGTCTGCTTCTTCCTTCTCCTCGACCCAGCTGGGAACATCATATCCTGGTAAGGCTCCCTCCTGCCGTTCCTGCTGCTCTGCCTGCTTCTTCCAGCTCCCACCCTTCTCTCCTAAGCAGCATGTCCCACAAAGGCCTCAGTTTTGGTACTCATTTTCAATTGTCCCTGCTATTGCCATGGGACACTGGCAGCTCCTGGGCCTGACCAACACATGACCCTGACTGTATACTCCTCCCTGCAACTTCAGGGCTTTGGTTCTGAGGCACAGGCCTCTATGGGGGTTCAAGCATCCATGAGTTCCTGCCCTACAGCTACTAATCAGACACAAGCTAAAATACCTCACTCTTCTTACAGTGCTGCCCTGAGAATGCACAGTGGGGCAGGGGTGAACAGAAGTCAGGCAAACTGGAAACACGTCTCCAATTTACAGCTCAGGACAGTTTTGAGTGAGAGGCATAACTCAAGGCATCATCTCCAGCCAAAGGATGCCTAGGCCTTAGCAGTCCCATGAA